GGAGCACAGCTTCAGCTAAAAATCATCTTTACTGTCCTACTGAAGTCACATCAGACCCAAATGACTTGTGCTTCAGTGTCCAGTGTCCACACTTACTGTCTGGTGCTGGTTTTATCTGGTTTGATGTCTGCTTTCTTGTTCAGATCGCTCAGTGATGAGGACAGATACAGATCCTTCACTCCAGCGGACACAGACGGCATTTCAGCTCATATTCCTGCAAACATCCCAAATCAGACGAATTCACGATCATTAGCATATTAATCATAATCTAAACGATCAGACGCAAAACAACAGTCAGCGCAGAGCTGCGATCTGACGCAGAACTACAGTAAATTAATAACTGGCTGTTTATTTGTATCGCAGTTAATCCTAAACACACCGCTGGAATACAATCCTCTCCGAAAACACGCTGGAATCAGCAGAGAAGCGCAGATCAGCCGGAAAAGTGGAGTTTATCCGGATCATAGACGGTAAACAGCCTGAAAGTGCTCGATCAAACGCGGAAGTCAGCGGATTCAAACAGCGGAAGCTTTATTTAAACACACTGCGTACAAACTTTAAAGCGCTTGAGAAAAGGCGTTTATAGTGTGACTGGTGTATTATTGATATTGTCTCATAAACTAAATATTACTGGGGAGATTGGCCTTGAAATTAAAAGTCATAAAGTGGAGCTCTGGCGTCTCCTGCGCGCTTAGTCAGCTGATTCGTGTCGCGGCGCATGCGCACTGCGTTCAGTCTGATTTACGAGATTTTATTTATTTTAAATCAAGAATGCACGATAGAATATACATTACAGAAAAATAATATTTAAAAATAATAATAAATAAAACGCTGCGGGTGAATCTCGTGTTCGTGGTTTATTTGTGTTCTTTCACACTGAGGCCCTGCCCGCCGCCGTGTTATTGTCATCGGCTGGTTCTGCTCGGACGGTAAGAAACAGAATTCGGCGTGATCGCGTCCGCCGGATGTGGAAGTGGATGAGTTTGTGGGGATTAATGTTTCCTCTTCCTCCGGAACACCAGCGATTTCCTGTTTATTGTTTTTAACGAAGCTTCACGTTCACCGCTGATGATGATGATGATGATGATGATGAAGCGCTGCTTCACATATACACTGTTTAATGTAACACTGTTAAATATTCCATTAGCTGAAGAACAGCAGCAGTTCTGTGAAATTAAGTGTTTTTGTTCAGTATTTCAGTAAAACCAGACAGAAGTACTGATTATGCCCGGGTTTCACAGACGAGACTGGAGTCTAGTCCCAGACTAAAGCGGGTTCAACTGATTGATCTTAACATCTGTCGGTGCGCTTGTTTCGTCTCAAGATGCACACCACTGATGATTTTTTCTAAGGCATGTTTATAAAAACTACATAAATGTCCTAATTGAACTGTGGCTTAATCTAAACCCTGTCTGTGAAGCCAGGCCATAGTGTTTCAGAGCAGGTACAGTTATTTAAAAGTGATGCAGATCTGTTGGAAGTTGTATTTTCAAACTTTGCTAAAACCAGAGATTTACATTAATAGATCATACTGACGTATTTATTCCTTAAGTTTTCTTTATTGGTCTTAAATTGACCTGCAGAAACCCTGCTGTGTGTCGAGTCACCTTTTTTTATATAACGCTTTTAACAATACAGATTGTGTCAAAGCAGCTTTACAGTATTAAATAAGAAAATAGTGTGTCAATAATGCAGAAGGACAGAATAGTAAACACTCAATGTTCAGTTAAAGGCAGTTCATCATTGATTCAGTGATGTCTTCATCCAGCTCAGTTCAGATTAAATAGTATCTCTGCAATCAAGTTGATGATATCGCTGGAAATGAAGTGTCCCCAACTAAGCAAGCCAGAGGAACCAAAACTCCATCGGTGTCAGAATGGAGAAAAAACCTTGGGAGAAACCAGGCTCAGTCGGGGGCCAGTTCTCCTCTGACCAGACGAACCAGCAGGTTGCTGCTGCAGAGTCAGATTGTGCAGAGGACTCGACTGGTTCCTGTGGTCTTGTGTGTGTGAATGAGGTGGATAAATGTCTGCGTCTGCTTTCAGATGTCTCTAGTGGATTTGGGAAAGAAGCTCCTGGAAGCCGTTCGCGCCGGTCAGGACGACGAGGTCCAGATTCTGATGGCGAATGGAGCTCCGTTCACCACCGACTGGGTGAGTGTGTGTGTGTGTGTGTGAGAGAGAGAGAGTGTGTGTTTGTGTGTG